GAATTTAATAACTAGAAGTATGTATGTGTGTGTCAAAAACTAAGGTAGAGAAAAATAAAAGAGAAACTAATTAAAAAATACAAAAGTAGCAGGAAGGAAGGGAACGGGAAAGGTAAATAAAAATGGAAAGAATAAAAGTAGAAGCAGAGACAAAGAAGAAAGCAGAGTGCAGAAATAATTAAAACAAATCAAAGGAAGTAAAGGACAAGGAAAAACAAAACTTGGGGGTGAGGACCCTTTTGTATAGGTCACACCCTCTAGGGGTTTGGATATTGGTTCTAGATGGAATTTGACAGGCCTATCTGTTTTCTATGGCCCATGCACCTGATCCAGTAGGGCTTTTTTACAGCTTAGGTGATAGCTGAGGGGATTCATTCTGGTAGAGAAGCAGCTGGGTCAGAATGGCTAATCATAGTAGAAATTTCCACTTGTCCGAGAGTACTGAGGGATCCAGCATTTTATTTTTTGCTGGTCGTATGAGGGGAATCTCAAGCATTTCTAGGTGTGGGGGTGGTAAACCCTGAGAGCATAGCTTTGTCCTCAATGAACATACAAGGATATCTTTGTCTGATGAATGGGTGAAGGTAGGGGCTGGCAATTGTGATATCCCAAGGGAGTGGGAAACAAGTGAGGATCCTTTCTTAATGCCACCTACCAATGTGCCGGGCTGCTGTCTGGATGGAATGCTACATGGAAAAATTCAAGATGTGCTGCATTAGGCTAGCTGACAATTCACTTTTCTGTCTGTTCTTGCACCACTTTTGTTTCTCTTCATATTCCAGTTAGTTTTCAGTCCACTTGAAGCTGAGGGTTCTAAGATTATCTAGTTTTACTAGATCTCTTGTATCTTTGTTGTAAATGGTCTTGTATAGTTAGTCATTATACCTGATGTCCTTAATTCATGTTTCTTTTTTTAATATAGTAGTTATAACCCTGGAAAATTCAGGGTTTATTAAAGTTGGGCAAAAAACCCGACACTTCTGTGTTTAAAATTTCTTAGTGAATTTAACTTAAACTATACAATTCATTTAAGTAATTCTGATTAAAAATACCAATAGCTTTAAGTTAACTTAATCCCTTATTAACTACTTGTTGCTGTTGATTATGATCCATCACTGTTGGAACTTTAAAAATAAGCGATTAGTTTGTTTTTTATTGATGTAAAATGTAAGCCAAGAGATTATTTTCCAATAATTTTTCTTTGTCCCTTTTTTCCCCTCAGCATTTTTTACCTCGCTGGAAGTGTGAACAGTTAATCAGACAAGGAATTCTGGAACATGTGCTATCCTAGCTTCACATTAAGACGGAGTCCAGCTGTTGGAGACATCTGCACATATCTGTCTACCTGAATCTCCACTGTTTAATTGTTAAACTTATAGGCATTCTTTATGTAAAGCCAGAATTACTTTGCTACATAGTTTTAGTGCTCATTTCTAAGGCTTTATTAGAATCCTAAGAATTCTTCTCATCCTTGTAGTATTCTCTATCCATATATATATAACATTTCTATATTAGTGCTTTAAAAAAACAAACCAGCAAACCGTAATTACCTTTGAGTCTTTTTTCTCTTTTCCCCCCAAATACAGTTGCATCTGGCTGTACAAGAAGAAGGTAGAACCTCATGAGTCTTATATTTTGGCAGGAATGCTGTGGCATCATGATCAGGTTTAAGCCAAGGAGCCCAAGGTTCTTGAATATTTATTAATGTGTAACCACAATTGTTTATCATCTGATTTGCGAAGGCAGACAGTAATGGCTAGCCTGGCACATGAGTTGTTAATAAACATTCCTCCAATCCTGGTGTTGCCTTCATATGGTCTTGGATTATTAGTTCAGCATATACCTTGATTAAATATGGCAAAATAATGCAACTCTGACACAAATGTTACCTGCTTTACAACAGCCTCATATTCCCTTGTTCTATTCCAACAAATGCCTCAAACGCCACTTGGTCTGTACAAGGA